CCGTACTCTGGCTGTTAGCCCTGTCTTACTCTGCTCGCCTGACCTCCACACAGGCACAGCAGATGGCTGCCCCTCCCTGAGCCTGGTCCTGCAGTTTTTCCCTCCCTCTATTGATGCTTACAGAGGGGTTTCTCTCTAATATTGTAGGGTTTTTAGCCTAATATTTAAAAGTCGATGTACAAACAGTTTATTGAGGTCTTTATTCTACAAGTGTCTTTGGATGTTGACTGTCTTTTGTTCTATTCGCTGTGAAGGTGAACCCACATGGTTTAGCTCAGGGCTCTGCGCAAGTTGATCCTTAACTGATAATATTCCACTTTGGGATCATTATCATGCTAAAAACTGAAGCAGTGGCCAATTAGACCCTTTCTGGTTTTACATATCGATGGTCAACCCACTTATGTGTTCTGTAGGTTTTGACACAGCCTGAAATGCCGTCTGAAATTATGACCGAGCCGCCACCATGTTTTACAAATGACTCTGCTGACTTCGTCCATCTATGTCGATGATGTTTTGAATCGAAAATTGGATTCATCACTATATAAGATCAGCTCCCTCTGATTTTCAGTTCAGTTTCGGTGGGATTTGTCATACCTTGGTCTTTCTTTAGGGGCGATCGTGGCTCAAGAGTTGGGAGTTCGTCTTGTAATCGGAAGGTTGCTGGTTCGAGCCCCGGCTCCGACAGTCTCGGTCGTTGTGTCCTTGGGCAAGACACTTCACCTCCGGGCCACCACCGGGCCCGGTGGCGCCAGTGTCCGGCAGCCTCGCCTCTGTCAGTGCGCCCTAGGGCAGCTGTGGCTACAATGTAGCTGCCATCACCAGTGTGTGAATGTGTGGATAACTGGATGTGTAAAGTGCTTTGGGGTCCTTAGGGACTAGTAAAGCGCTATATAAATACAGACCATTTACCATTTTCTCTGTGGTTGAGAACTCATCCTTAAGAATGGCTTTGTGACAGCTACATTTTCTAATGAGGGTCTTGTTTTATCCTCCATTTGTCAAATTTCCTCCATTTCTGCACAGAGTGTGAAAAAGCAGCCAACATAAAAAAAAAAGCTTGTGTGTGGCTGAAGACTTTTGCACAATAGTGCTTTTAGTAGCTTTTCACTGGAGTTCAGATCAACTTTGTGGTACATTTGTGAGACACCAGACAATCAGACTAATGAGGCGGGAAAGTTGAGAAAAACTGTTGGGACAGATGAACCAAGGTTAACTTTGCCCAGAATGATATGAAGAGAAGTCATGCTGCTCTCTGTTTGTAGACCACACAACCTGCCTTCTGTTTTACTGTAAAACACTGAAGCTACAGCCTGTGTGCAAACCTGAAATACTGTTTTCATCAGCTAACATGTAGGTTTTTCTGTGTGCAGAAAGTGGGCTTCTTTAACCAGCAGTATGCAGATCAGCTTAACATGGAGGAAACAGCCACTGAGTACTTGATGAGGAACTTCAATCTTCCCTACCAGGATGGCAGGAAGTGCCTGGGACGTTTTGGCCTCGAGAGCCACGCCCACACCATTCAGATCTCCAAACTCTCTGGTATAAACACAAACTGGTGAATGTTTATTGTACGATCTTGTGAAGGAAACATTTTCTAATAGCGTCTGGATTTTGTCTTCATCAGGTGGTCAGAAAGCCAGAGTCGTGTTTGCTGAGCTGGCCTGTCGTCAGCCCGACGTGCTGATCTTGGTAAGCGTTGTTCGGTCTTTTGCTCTTCCTCGTGATCAATACTTTCTACTGTCTTGTTGATTAATCGCTTCTCGTCTCACAGGACGAACCTACCAACAACTTGGACATTGAGTCAATCGATGCTTTATCAGAGGCCATCAATGAATACAAAGGAGGTGAGACTGGCTGCTGATCAGCTCAGTAGGGACGACTATTCTTACTGCTTCAGTGCTCACATAATTCACACATCTATTT